TCTCTGTATTCAAGAGCTGCCCCATAATTTTTCCACTCCAATTTTTCTATAATTTTTTTTTTTACTCTACGAATCAAATTAAAATTTATTCTTGCCTGGTTGTATAATCTTTGAGGTGCCCAGAAACAGACTAATATTTTTGAAGATTCTGCCAAAAAAATGAGCCATCGAACATAATGGAATTATGGGGTCCCTTGAACTAAATAATCAATGATCGCCACCGAGGTGATATTGAAGACATCATTATGGAGAAATGCGTTACTTCCAACCAAAATCAATAGGAGCTGAATTCCAAAGAGATCGTTCAGGAGTTCCAAAGTTTCGTGCAGTTTTTGAAAACAAAATATTATTTCCATCAATCTTTTTTCACTTTCCGCATTTCTCAACATGAGGTTGAGTTTTTCCCAAATTTGACTTGCCAGCAGGCAATACAAGGAAAATTGCAAGATTGTCAATGAAACTGTTAGCTTTCTGGCCATCGCTGACACAATGTGTAAAACAAAGGAAAAATAAGCAGTAAATTCGCCACTGTGCACAATAGACATAAAATATCCACGTTCCCTTAAAGCGACATTGTAAAGTGGATAGGTGAGTGGTTCAACCAGTAATACAAAAATTAAGAGATGAGTTTTTGAAACCATAAGTTTGGTATTGACGTCAAGCTGTTGTACAATGTTAAAAAAATTACCAAGGATTTTCTTAAACACTGGGAGTTTGAACCAAAGTAACCAAAGCCAGACGTAGATGGTACAGCTCTGCGCGACTAAAGCAGAAAGAAGAACCAAACGCGATCCTCCACCTTGACTTAGATCGGCGAATGCGACCATTGGGAAGTTAACATACCCGATAACAATACCATAGATACAAAAAAGGATTTTGTGTCTTGTCACATTTTTCAATTGCAAATCGCCATTGGACAGCTCAAAAGTGAACATTCCAAAATAATTACAGACTCCAAACAATGGTCTTAACATTAGAATTAGACTCTCTGCTCCTCTATTACTCCTAATTTGCATCTTTGTTACAAAAAATACACCCAGCCGAGCATAGGCCACTGAGAAACTAATGTAAAAATGTTGACTTGTATTGATCTACATTATAAATAATTTTTGATGATCACTCCTTTATATTAACTAGCAAGTCATGTATTCAATTTGATTATTGGCAAAAGACATCTTCTGGAAGTTAAAATCAATATTTTATTATTTAATTATAACATTGGTTTAAATATACATTGTTTTAAGATAGGAAACATTAAAAGAAAGTCATTACTGGTTATATGTTCTCTTTCTGTTTGTGTTTAAGACCAAGGAAAAGAGTTCTCGTTATTTTAAAAAAAGTCATGGGCGTTAATTCACTGAGAGAATTGCGGGCGTGGTTCTCTTTTTTTTCTACTAGTTTCTATGCAAGGACAGAGGAATATTGCAGATATTTGTACAGTTATGAGGAAATGATCAAAAATAAAATAATTTTGCTAGTTAGGCTATTTGCATACAATATAATCATTTTATTACAAAAGTTTTCATTTATTGCAATTTGTAGAAAATCCTTTTACCTGAGAAATTTTTACCTGTTGAATTTTTTATCCTACAGTTGCGTGTCACTTGAGGAAAATTCCTGACAGACTTACTTTGTTTGCGTCATTATTATACAACACAAAAAAGGGCCGAGCAATTCTCAAGAAACGAAATTATGCATGCGTCAATTTGTTTTGTCCCAGCAGAGACTGACAAAAATGAAAGAGACCCAAGGTCCTTCCAGACAAGTTTCCCAATTCGGTCACACGGTAAGGCATTACAAACGAGAATAAAAAAATTCAGTTAATAATAATAATAATAGTTTCAACGCATACATTTGAATTGATGGTTTATTGGTGATAGATTTTTCAGAATTAAGTTGTTGTAATGTCGTAATTTTGAATCACGTTCTACTTCCTTTCTATCGAGCACTCGGCACTTTTAACGCGTTTCTTGTTGCTTGGCACACGAAAGTCGGCTGCAAAACCGCAACTAGGCGCAAAACAGGTGAAAATATAAATCTCTGATGGTTTGGAACGCGTGCTGCGAAATGAAAGGAAGCCGCTTTTCAATTAGCCGCGCATGCAATTCTCAAAACTCTAAGGAAATTTTATTGTACGCATTAGTAGGGTTTTTAATGGGAGTTGCATGTCCGCAGCAAAATTATAAGGATTGGAAATTGAAGACCTGTGCTTTTTAAAGTAAATTGCTCCTTTTACGTCGGAGGAGAAAATAGCGCGAAGCAAATTGAGTCTGAACTCATTTCACTTATTCTCATTTTAATTTGCACAGACAAAATTTAATTTTTATAATATGTAACCAGAGTTATTTTGATTCTGGTCATTTTATTTTCCTGCATCAATTCAAATGGAATCATTGGTCACAGCTAAAAAGGTTAAAATTATGAAAGTATCAAACTTTATGAAATAAAAATAATCAAATTAATTATTCGTATTGGGGTCCAAAATGTGATATGAATAGACCAAATGCAGAATGAAATTTGAAGGAGGATTTACAATTTCTTTGTAGGTAATTTTTGGAATCCGCTTATTGTGAATACATTTAAATTTAAATTAGCGTAGTTATGCTAAAATCCAACGAAATCACAACCAATAAGGATGAAAATAATCGTTTTTAAAATAAAAATCTTTAATTTACATATTTTTTTTGAAAAATAACTTTATACATAGTTCACTTTCATTCCAATGCCAAATCAATAATTATATTTAGAAGGACAAGGAAGCTTTTGAAAGCCACAATCGATTCCCTCATTGCATTTGATGCATGTAGTTAAGAACGTCAAAGTTCAATTCATTGCATTGAGCAAGATGCATTTCTGGCCTTAAATGCTCTCCGTTAACAAGATATAAAGTGAAAGGCACGTCAGAAATTGAACCTAAAAGTTCAAAACAAATTACGCAACAGCCGCCTGCGCGAAAAACCAGTGAACCCATTGAGTCCAATCCCTCGAAAAATTCATTAGGAGGTCAGTGAAAGGTCACGGATTGTTTTCTTGCTCTGAAATACGCCCACGCGTTGTTAATGCTACACTTCCAGGGTCACCTGGAATGACACATTCGAATAGTGTGTGTGCATTGTATCCAAGGAGACTGCGGACCACACATTGCTCGCCAACTTATCACTCTCTTATCTAATTTATTTATTGCGCCCCTGTGTGATCGAAGGACTGCCGACGATTGTGAGTCGCGAATTTACCATTGCAGCCGCTCCCAAGGTCGGGTTTATAACTTTTGCGGTGAAATTACAAAAAAAAATTGAGAGATGAGTTAGAGATTTTTTGAGAGTCACGATTTTTGAATACCGACAGAGAAGCCCTGCGGCTGGTAGGTGGCAATAACAGGTTTTGCGTACTGAATTCAAGGGCAAATTAACGACCGGACTCGTCTCAAAATTACATAACGGATTTTCCTCTTCAACCGTCCCCTCAATCTAGTTTGGAGTTCTCATCACCTTTGGCAGAAAGAAACTAAAAATTCATCCAATCAGTGAAATTGAGAGATTTTCCTAAATATCTTTGAAGTCATTCCCCTTAAATTGCATGAGATTCATTTTTGTTTAATTGGTTTTTATCTGGTTTTTATGGACCAATTTGGTAGTAAAAATAATTTTATTTTTCAATTTTTTTATTTACAATAAAATATGACTTTTTTCTAAAATGTTCTGGAAATTCAAAACTTTACTGTTTTTGCGTCAGTAGTTAATCTATTTATGCGACGGCGAAAACAGGACATTTTATCATGAAATCAGTTGACAAGTTTTGGCAAATTTTAGTAACACGTCACTCCCGAATGAGTTGTTGTCTTGCACGACAAAAATGGCAACTCGTTGAAAGTGTTCGTGAAATTGACATTGCTGATAAGGAAGCGGCGCGAAAATAAAATCAAAATTAGCAAAGACCTCCGCTTTTGTATCCTTGGCTTGTTCGCGGGCGACGAATACATTAAATTTTCAGATCCCACTGACAGCCACTTCCTGGGGGCCCGCATCGAATTTTAATCAAACTTCGTCCATACGTGGCTTCAAAGTTGAATATTTATTCCTTTCGATCTCCTCCCAAGAGTAAAATTAAAATGAATTCTCTTGATGTGTAATTTGCTGTCTATTCAAAGCAGTTTGATAATTTAATTGCTGTTTGTTTGCTCGTTGATAAAAGAAAGAGTCTTTCTTGTTCGCGCCGCGGAAAGGTCGTTGCACAACGGTGGGTCTGAATAATGAATTTTGAAATTATTTTCATCGCCGAGCATGAAATTGAAAAATTTAGAAATGTGCTGATGCTTTCTTTCTGTACGCTTATTCGTTTACACTTTGCAATGCACTCTCAGCAATAAATCAGAATAGATGGCATATTTTCGTCTGGCGATGAGTTGTTGTGAAATGCAAAAACAAGGCGTTCTAAAATATATGTTCAAAAACAAATGGCCATTATATGTATATTGTTTGCATCAACAACATTCTTATAACTTAATTAGCAAAAAAAAATTTCAATATTCAATAACAAATAAAAAGTGAATTTAATTTTGTTTCTTGATGCCTCTTAAGTCACAGAGTATTTGCATGGCTAGTGAGTCACATTTTGTAATTTTATTATGTTTTTATCTAAGGCATTAACTTTGTTTAAATAAATATTATTAAATCAATATAAATATTGCCAAATTTAAATAAAGAATTGTAAAGAATAAATTAATGTATTTTCAATAAGAAGAATACTAGCCATTTATTTGGTTTTATTGCACAAAATTGCTAGTATGGTATAAAAGGAAAACAAGTATAGCAATTAAAGCTAATTTTTCCAATTTTTTTTTTCTTTTTTGTAACTTAATAAAAATATAACGGTTGTTTTTAAAAAGGGAAATTTACATTTTAGTCGAATTCTTGTAAAATGTTCCATGATTTCATTTTCCCACGATGGAAAAAAACGTCAGCTTCAGACGTGAGCTCACGACGTGCGTTGTTGTGTTGCAGAAAGAGTCTGGTCGCCGTGAGGGCGCGGAATGCTGAGGGTCCTATTGCACAGCACCTGCATCATCGTCGACATCGCCAGCAACCACATCTGAGAAGCAAAATGATCAAGACACCGGCGTTGTTGCCCCTGCTCACAGGTGAGGCGCGCGGATTGACCGCAAAATTGGTTCTCATATTCCACAAAGGAAACTAAGGAATTTGATAGTGTTTGATTCACCTTTGAGGTTTCGTCCAGAAAAGACCAGAGGTTGACTTTATTAAGGCAGCGCGGCTCATCAAATTTTTGAGAGTTCCATCTTAAAATTTTATAACAAAGGACGTGAAAACAGACGCAAATTTAAAATCACTTATTGAGGGAAGATCTTGGTAGATATTTTAATGACAGTTTAAGTTTTTAATTTACATTCTATATTATAAACTGAAATGAGAATCATTTGAATAAATAAAAAAAATTTAGTTGGATCTTCATTTTGAAACTAGTAAATTTTTCAGAATTTTTTAATTTTATTATAAAAAAATATCTTCAACATTCTTAAGTAAATTGTTTAAAATTTTTGCTTTCCTGCTGATCTGTTTGAGTTGCAAAATTAAATGCCCTGCCAAAGAAAGTGCGAGAATAAACAATCCATGGATTTCCTTGTTTTATTGTAAAAAAATTGTAACTAATTCTTTAGCCTTCGAAAACGTGAAAGTTCACCCCTTTTGTCAACACAAACAATCCTTCTGATAAAATTCGTTTCCTTAAAGAATTAGTTCTGCAATGACGTTGTTTTTTTGGACAAATAATTTGAGATTATTTATTTGTTGCTCAAGTTGTCGATTATCCGCGAGTGGCGCCTGTCGAGATTCTGTCACGCTATTTTAGCATCTAGCACGTTTTGTTCGCAAGCAACAATGCCATTATTTCACCTCCAGCACTGTCTATAAGCATGCAGCTTTCACTTCGGTCCGCGACTCCGTCTGCACCACAGGACACGCCAAAGCGTTAAATAACTGCACGCTCTATTGTGCGGTTGGCACGCGTGGGATAATCAGAGAATTAGCGAAGAGTTTAGAGAAAACGCGCAAATTTTGTAAGACCGTTAACACCAATTTGTGCACGATGCGAGAAACTGGAGCATCTTTGTGTTCGATTGGCATGCAAAAGTAAACAGCCAAATGTTGAATTATGCAATTTGATGGTCTGGATTGCAAAGCAGGTTGCATAAAATTAAAAAAAAAAAATTAAACCTCAATATTTAACAGGTGATAATTTTTTCTTTTCGCATAAATTCATTTATTCTACTAAAAATTTTCAGCTCCATGGTCCAGCAGTTTTCCCCCAATTATTTAGAACACCGCAGAACATCGGAATAATTTATAAAGTTTCATTTAATCCGTTTCTATGATGATAAATTGGACTGTTAATTGTAAGACTTTAAGGAATTAGTCGATAATGTACTTGTGTTATTATTTTTTTTTTTTTCATTTTTTACTCCACTTTTCAGTGGTCTTGATAATAGACTGACAATGAGTCAATGCTTCCACACACGTTTCTTGGTATAGAGTATATAAATAAATTATGAGCCTCAACCAGACAAGAAGCCGTAAAACTGGCGCAGGATCAAGGTTTTCTTTTCCACCATATCTGCTCTAATCATCCGCATATTCTCCAAATCGGCACTTTTCTACAGAATATTAAACCAGCCGCTTTCCAATCAGCGAATTCCGAGAATCTTTCCGGTGATTTGCACTCGGTGATCGCCAATTTGGTGCCAGTAACCAGAAAAAAACTAGCAGGTGGAAAGACACATGATCATAATATGCTCATCAAAGCGGAACGTAAGCCGAGCATTGCGATCGATTTTCGACTTAGCGTGGGAAAATATAATATTTTGGACATGGGGAAAATTCAAGCCCAAAAACGGACGCGTCGTGATTTCTGAAACAAGAAGGCAGACGAGGCGTGACCAATTTTCACAAACGTTGCTGATAATTGTTAGCTTTGGCGAAAATGTTGCGACTTGATATTCAAGATAAAACGTGTAACAAATAAACAGAGCTTTACACTCAACAATTGAGACATACAATAATAATTATGAGATATTAATTAAAACAAAATAGAAATAACTCTCAATGATAATTAATTAAAAATGGAATTACCAAAATAAAAAAGCATTTAATTTTTTGTTTTTCCATTTTATTCCATTATTTAATAAAATTATTAGGATGCATTGAAAACCAATTTATTTACAAGTGCTTGTATCTTTGTATTGGGAGACTATTTTTGTCACAAGTCTGTGTCAAAAGGCTATTTTTTTTTTTTGCAAAATGAATGGATCGGAGCATTGAAAGGGCCTAAATTTCGTCATTTTCCTAAAAAATTCTAGAAAGTCCGTGTCAGCTTGGTTAATCCAATTAATTGCGATTTAGGCAGCGAGTGTTATTGCAGCGAACCGAATCGGCGGCAAGGCTGCCAAATTTTGACAATGACTCACAATCGACAGTAGAAAGGTGAACCTCGCGTGAATGCTAAAACGCAAAGAGAGACGCACGTGGGTGCGTCTGACGGTGATTTTCGTTCCCCTCGTCCAACACGGCAGCCTTATGACCATACGGTGGCGTCGTTCTAATCTGATGAATTTGACGTCACGCGATGGATATACATATTTAAATTACGTACGTACGTTGACCTCCTACTCACGGACTGTGATCTTTGACGCATTTGTGCGCAACGTAGAAAGATAATGAAAAATTCAATTGTTTCTGAATAAAAAATCCACAATATCCAATCCCAATTAATTTGAATTTCTATCCTTATCATTCAATAGGTTCATTTTACATTTTAATACTTAAAACAAGCGACACGCAAATTCTTAAATTTGTTAAAAAAAAAATTAAATTGACTCTAAATTTTTTTTTATGAATTATCAAGAATTAACATATTCTTGGAAACGAGCTGCTGAAAAAAATACAAATCGCCTCTTTTCCTGAAGCTTCTTTTTCACGGTGGCGGAGATTGAGCAGGAAACGCTTGCAGGCAAAATGCTCCTCTTTCAAAACCTGTTTGTTGTATTGCTTCCTGTCGAACGTTTTCAAAGCAACCCAACCCAATTGACGCATGCAATAAAGTTGCAATTTTTGAAACCGGCTAAAATCATCAAGTATTTAAATAAGGCTGAAATTTACCGACCACTCAATTACTCCAATTTGCATTTTTCTTAAATTGGTGAGCCATTAAATGTACAGTTTTGTACTTGAAATCAGCACGGACGGATATGGTGGCACAAATTCAGTTTTTATTTTACAAGCTAAATTTTTCAAAAATTTTGTAACGAAATTTCAACACAAACGCCAATTTTTACTTTCAAATTACTGAGAAATTAAAACTTGTGTCCTATTTAACTAGAAAGACATTTCAATTTGGATGCAGGTAAATGCGTGGGACCAACTGAAGCACGCAGACAGTGTTTCATAATGTGTCTGCAATTAAAAGAGTTTAATTTCCCATCGTTGTCGTTATACCAGTGGGAATAATGGGCGAGTGCGAAAGTAAAAATAAAGAGTTGTTGTTGAACATTAAAAATGCACTTGCGATTTCGGTAAATTTTCTCACGCCACATTGCGCTGAATAAAAAAAGACATGTTTTAATTTAATTAAAAGCGAGTTGTTATTAATTTTATCGTCAATTATAGATTATATACTCCAAAATAAAGGGGGGGGGATATATAAAGCATTAGAATAAAAAAATGAAAAAGATTGGCAGTATTACACTGTAATATAAATAAAAAATATTATTCAACAATGAAACAATTAAATTTGACTCATTACAGGAAAATGAAAAAGTTCATTTCATTAACATATTCATGAGGATAGGTATTCATTAAATCTAACTTTTACAAAATCGCCACTTCAGTATTATTTTTTAATGAATATACATAGCACTTGTAAGTATAATCTGATAGTTGCTACTTATTGTTAACCCCAGCAGCTGCCATAACTCGGCGTCTCTGTATTTTTGATAAATATTGACTAGCGTCTTCTCCACTCAATAATAAGTTATTGCACTCTTTAGGTGCGTTTGCACGCAAGGAAACTGTTTTTACCATTGAAGAAGTTCTATAATTTATAGATGGTTTTATACACTTGTCCAGCAACTCCTTATTAAGCTGGATTAACTTTTTTAAGTCTGCTTTCATTTTCTCTCTCCCGTAGCTTCCAAGTCTTGCTTCAAACCTCTCCCTGAATTCAAATAAATTAACTTTTTTGTGTGCTAAAAATCGATCTGACTAACTTGAAATGCCTGTAAATTTGAACATCCGCGTGGTTAATTTTCAATATTTTGTTCTTCTCATCCTCTGTAAGGGGTTCATACGAGCGATTGCTGCGACTATTCAGTGAAACGTACGCCATGTCTTCTAAAGGCCAACACATTAGATCCGCCAGCATAATTAAAGATTCGTCCATGAATTCGTTTATCATGACAAATTCAAATTCTCGATCAATCATCGCAATGAGCTCTTTGATTTTAAGTTCATTTTCAGTGTCTTGCAAGTCCAGTCCAAAATTGTACGCAATCTTTTTAAGAATAATGAAGTTTTTAATTTAATACGACTATTTTAATAATTAAACTTACGTTATTTGTGGAAGGCTTACCACCTGGTCTCAGGATTGGCTTAAAATGCTTTATTATGTAGTCGTAATCAAACTTTAGGAAGTCCTTTATCGTAGCAGTCTTGTTGTTAAGCCATATACTATTGAAATGAAAATAATCGAAGGCGGACTCGAATTGCTTCACAGGGTCACGCACAATTGCAATCATTTTGGTGTCCAGAGCCATGACCTCTCTAACGTTCTTGGAGTGGAAGCGGCTGTGGTGCACAAGCATGTCAAATCTCTCACCTTTGGGGATCAGATCGTTTCAAACAAATTTTTTGTGAAACGAATGAGGGTATCCGATCATATTGACTTTGAGAATATTATAAGATTAATTTTACACAAAATTTAAGTACAAAATGAGTTACTATATTTAGATAGGACGAAATTCAACTCGAGCTTAATTCCAACCCTTATGAGAATGTTGTGGACAGTCATGCTGCCACATTTGTGGTTCTTTAAAAAATACAGGTGGCGTCCAGGTGTGCATTTGCCATGTGAAGTGGTGATAGCTGGCAGCAGGTTTTTTCTTGTAAAGAAATACAAATAAAAGGACACAACAAAATAGACATAATTTTACCTCGGTAACAAGGATGTTGTAAAGAAACACCCCAACACAACTGCTACAACCAATAAACCAAACTTGTGTGCCATCCGATGCATTTTCTTAAGTTTCCAGCAAATTGCCAACGTTATATTTCAAAGCTTGGTGTTGACCCCCACACGTAAAAAAAGATAAGAACTGTCATGCAGAGGGCAACGGTGGGCTTATATTATCGCTTCATTTCCTTAAATGCATACTTTTAAAATTTAATTGCCTACCTCCAACGTCCTCTTTTCTCTATGTGCATTAATGTTAGCAGTAAAATTTTAATTTATAGGGCTAATTAAGGAAACACTATTAATTAGGAATTAAATGTATTGATAATTTAAAGACAGGAAGATAAAATTATTTCAGTTAAATTCAATATTATCTGATGCAAAAATTAATTTCAAAATATATTTTTCGCCAACATCTAAATAGTAAAGATGCATTTATAATGGGGGAGTTTCCCGTGATAGCCATATAAAAGCCAGGAGGACTACTGAATAGAATGTTCCCTAAAAAATATATAATTATATTTGTAAATTTTTTCCTTTTCAGCAACGGCAACAAAACATTTCTTTTTCCCTTTCAGCAAATTTACTATTTTAGATTGCAAAATTTTTCTGATTTTTTATTTTATTTTATAATCACATTATCTAAACGATGATAATGTCTGTTGCAGGTGGATTTGTGTGCCTGATCTTGGCAGGGGTGGTTTATGCTGGCGGTAACCAACAACAGGAAGCCTCTACAATCGCCCCAAAGGCTGTAAACGAGAGCTCGGCGCCACTGAACAACAGCGTTGTCGCGGCTGCCGAGGCCAAAGATGAAAAAACCACTTCAGAAAAACCACTTTGCACGGACTGCATACCAGAGGGAACTTCCAAACTGGCATTTCCTGCAACCAAGACTAACCAAATAGATATGAATAAGTAAGTAAAGTTTTTAATAGCACTATTATAGCTATATTAAATTTTTCTTTCACATGTAAGTGAATGAGAAATAAACACATTGATTCTTATTTTGCGTTCATTGTAGTGAAAATTAAATTTTAAAATTCAAATAACTTATGCAAATCAATACTTTTAGATACACTGCAGAGAAAATTGCAAATGAATATTCGGAGCGCATCAAAGCGTCAATAGACTTGATGCCCTCGTCAGTGGAAGAGCGGTTGCGCCAGCTTTCCGAGGAAGTGCACAAGGGTTTCAACCATAATGACTTTTTCGACGAGCCTTCGTCTTCGTTGATCGCGCCCACCTCTTCTTCTGCCAAAATTGTGCCTACCAGCTCTTTCTCGGAACCAGAGTTTGCCGCTGCCAACAACGACTGGACGCCCATCAATCCGCAGCCCTTCCACACTCCGGAACTGCCAAGGCAGTTTTCCGTCGGAGTTGGTTTTGTCAGCAAAGTGCATTACGACCACTCGCAAGATCCCAACAAGATCGTCAAGTCGTCGGTTTTCTACTTGGACGATGGTGATGCCACCGGGTTTGTGTCTTCGTCCAACTTCAAGTATGAGAAAACCGTCCCCCCGTCAATTCAGCCCACTTCGGTTACCATGGTTGTGCACTCCACTGGTGCCTACACTAGCAATGAGAGGGGCTATTATCATGAAGAACCAGAGAAAGAACCTGAAGTGGTGAGTTTATTTTTTAAAACCCTATTTTTCCAATTTTCCGCAAAAAAAAATTAACTGGGAATCATTCAATTGCCGTGTTTAACTTTCGTTATGTGTTTTAAATATTTATAAAAAGCTTGCGATATGCGCATGTCAGCATTATCCATTTTATAATAGTTGAGCTGTCATAAGATTTTGCAAAGTTTACAATTAAAAATAAATTATATATCAAATTTAGTTAAAATTATTTTAAAAATAATAAACTGGAGGTTGCATTTTTTTTTATGTGAAACATGACATTTTTACCTGTCAAATTGACCATTCTACCTGATTTTTAGATTTTCCTGAAGTACATTTTAAAATTTGTTAGTTCAAAAAAACCAATACAATTTCCCCAGTCATAAATCAAAACCTTCATTATTTCCCATTTCCAGGACATTTCCATCACCTCTGACTCAGTGCACACTGTGCTCACTAACGATGGCATCAATCTGCTGAATGACACATCCACTTCATCAACTTTGAACAACATCACAGTCAACAAGGAGTTCCACAGCGCCAAAAATCTGTCCACCATCATCCCTCCACTTGGAGCCAAACACAACGTTACAGACGTGGAATTGATTCCCAGCGCTGAGTCAAAACTGGTCAAAGCCGTGACCAACAGCAGTGAGAATGAAGCCCTGAATAAAGTCAACGACACTGGAAAACCGGTCAAAGATATGGAGGAGTCCATGTCGGGTCAGTCCATCACTGTTTCGGCGTTTGCTGAGAGGAAGGGTCTGCCCAAGTCAACCACCGAGATGTCTGCCGATTTGTCGGAAAAGGAACAAGAGACGTCAGTGACGCCGAAAAGCATTCCAGCCAATATTATCCGGAACAGAAAACCTTCCTCAGGGTACAGAAGGAGGACTACAAGCACTACAACAACAACCACGACAGAAGCTCCAGTCGAAATTACAACGGAAAATTCTGACGATTCTATGGCTATGGGTTCAGAGAGCATGCTAGGTAAGATTATATTTAAGAAATTGAAATTAAGCGCAGTAAAAATTATTTGGGGGAGATGAAAAAAAAGTAGAAAAAATATGCAAATTAAATATAAAAAAATCATTTACGTTATCGTACCTTATTTTGAGGTTTAAACAACATTTGTCTGAAAACAGGCAAGGAATGATTTATTCACTTATGCAAAAGCAAAAATAGGCGCCTTTTTCCAAAGTGTAAATTTAAATACTTCGTAGCTAATTATAATTTGATTTAAAGATTGTACAACCACGGAGGGGGAAGAGGAAGTCACTGAATCGCCTAAGAATGAGAACAAGATTGTCACGCACAGCAGCAGCACCACTACCACCACTGTGCGCGTCTACACCACTAATGAGCCTCCCACGTCTGAGGGAAATCAAATGACGCCTCTCTCGACCTCGACGTTTTTGCCAGAGGTAGATTGTCACTTAAAGATAAATTGCAATTTCAAACTAATAATTCAACATAGGCTGAGGAGACAACATACAAAATAATTTCTGAGAGCACCACTGTCCACAACGTCCACTCGGTCGAAAGCACCCTCAAACCTACAAAGACAGACGAGGAAGACGATTGTGAAATGGAGGAGCCAAATTCTTCGGCAGCTCCCGGTGTCAGTCAGAAAACGCCAATTCATGAAACCAATGGTAAATAAGCAGTCATATTTTTAGTAATTTAGCAACAAATTTCGTAGAAAAGTAGAAAATAATCATAAAAATGCTATATTTTTTTTTTAATTAAATAGTAATTTTTTTTATTAATTAAAAATTAAGAAGGGGAAGAAACTAAAACTTATGGAGTGCACGTGCTTGATCCTTTTGTGGTTTATATTTATTTTGTTAACTCTCACATCGAGCAGATAATTTAAAAAATATAATCAGTGTAAACTGAATTTATAGATTTTGTTATTATCTATTTACAAAGTAATTGTTTTAATAGTAACGGCCGAGGAGACCACTGAGATCCCAATGGAGGTCAAGGCCTACTTGCAGCTGAAGGTGGCCACCTCGTGGGAAGAGCTGTGCAGAAATCAAGAGGATTTCAAGAAGGGTTTGGCTGATATGCTGTCCAGAGGCACCAAGAAGGACGTTTCGCCTGACAGGGTGGTCCTTCTGAATGATGAAGAGTGCCACGAGCCACCACCGGAGGAGGCTGATGGAATTTCTGTCCATCTTTATCTGCAGGATGAGCATGGAGATTATGACATGAACCTTACCCAGGCCTTCCCGACCATTTGGCTCGGACAAATGGACAACAACACCTTAAAGGTATAAAAATGGTATTAATTAAAATTTAAAACCATGAAATCAATTTCTTTTATTAAATTTAGATCACCTGCGCTGACATTAGATTTACAAATAACGAGCAGGCCCCTTCAACGGCTGAGAATGGAGGAGTGATTGCTGCAATTGCAATCACTGGTGTTGCTGCTGGATGTTTCTTGCTCCTTGTTATTCTTATGGTAAGTCTGAGGGATCAATTTGATAAAATAATAAAACTACTAAATAATATTATAATTATTTCTTTTATATTTAATGCATATTTTTCATTTCTAATTGAATTCCTTTTAAGGAATTTAAGCATCTTTTAAGCTTAAAATTTAAAAAACTGTAAACATAATTTAACTTCAACATAAAATTTTTACATTATTCACTATTTAGCTCATTATGAGGAAGCGGCAGGGCAGATTCAACTATGGCCAAAGGTGCACACCTGTGTCCCTGGACGCTTACAGCCTGGACAGCGTTTCTGTCTACAACAGTGTGCGTAGGAAAGGCGCCTTGAGAGCTTCGAAGAGGTCTTACGGAAACCCCAACTTTGAAGACGGGGTAAGTTTTGCATCTCAAAATAAATTTTATCAAGAACTGAATTTTAAAAATTTTAAAGGAGGGCCCTTCACACCAAATGAATTTCGCCGGTCTGGCCAACTGCCTGAACGACACCAAGGCTATCCACGAGGAATTCGCGCTGGTGCCCGTCATTCACGCCAGACTGGATGAACTGCCGGCTGGAGCAGAGACCAAAAACAGATACGCCAATGTGATTCCCCTGCCTGAAACTCGGGTGCCTCTCACCAAGAGAGGCTCCGACCTCCTGTCGGAGTACATAAATGCCAACTTTGTCAGGGTATGTATTGTTAAAAATATAGACGAAAATGTAATTAAATGAATATTATCACATTTATTAAATTCAATGTCATATTTTTTCTCTGGTCATATTAAAATTAAATAATATTAACATATTTTATTTTATTTAGGGCCCGAAAAATGCCCCTAGATATTACATAGCTTGCCAAGCGCCGATGGAGTCGACAGTCTCCGATTTCTGGCGCATGATTTGGGAGCAGCAGAGCAAAGTTATCCTCATGCTGACTGACTTGGAGGAGAATGGAGTGGTGAGAAAATTGTTTCTTCTTATCTGATGGGGTCGGGTGGAAGTAAAAGTGTTCACTTGAATAACAAACAATTGGTCTGACCCGAGGTCAAAATAACTGACCTCATGCGAGGTGGCGTGTTTCTTATCTTGTTGGCTTCTCATTTGCATTAATTGTGAATTTGAATAATGAAGGTGTATTGGGGTTGCTTTGTGGCCACCATTCACTGCGGCGTTCGGGAGCAAAGACCTCACAGTTCATTCTCGTGTTGCAGGAAAAGTGCGCAGACTACTTGCCGCCCTCGGAGGTGCTGGACTGTCACAGACTGTTCGGCGACTTCCATGTGACACTTAAGAAAAGGGAGGAGAGGGACAAATATGTCATCTCTACACTCCAGCTTAAGGTAAATATAATTATTTGTTTTAGAGTTTTTTTTTTTCATTTTAATTGTTCGTTGAAAAGTTTTTGGATTATCAAATATGCATTTAAAATAAATATAGAAATAATTATAAGAGTCAGAGATTTGCTGAAGTGAGTGAAATCAGTTTTCTCATCATAAAAAGAACAAACAACAAAAACAAGTTGGCAAATTTTTGTCCTGTATTTATAAATTTTTCCTCTTTTTTTATAATTTATAATTTCAGTATTTTTCTCTCCTTATTAAAACACGTAATATTAATAAAAGAAGAACATAAAATTATCAAGTATAAAACAATATTGGGACAAAATGAATAACCTGACTTCTTTATAGAACATGGAATCAAACTTGTGGAGAGAAGTGACACATTTGTGGTACTTTGGGTGGCCGAGCACAGGTGTGCCGGAGGAAGCCAACGCCATCATAGCGTACATCATAGAGGCGCGCGCCTTCATGAAGGGCAACACCGGCCCCAATGTGGTGCACTGCAGCCCCGGAACAGGCAGAACAGGCACCATCATTGCCGCCGACTTGTGCATCAGGGATTTCGAGAAGAGCCGAGTGGTCGACGTGCCTAAAATAGTCCAACGTCTCCGTCGGGACAGAGCAGGAGCGGTACAGACCAAGGAGCAGTACCTCTTCATTTATCAGGTCAGAATTTTTTTCTTACAATTAAATTAAATTTTGTTCAATATTGGTAAATAAAAATTTAAATCTCATCCAGAAATGGCTTTTTGTCTAAAAAAATTTTTGTTTTTAATCTTTTCAATCATTATTTAAAAATTAAAAATTGTGTAAATTACTGTTTCAGGTTTTAAATTTATATGCAGCCAAATTGACAGGCGGGGCCATGGAATCATTATAGGAACCTTCTCGAGGAAACCAGACTGTGCAAAAAATCAGTGATTTAATTAATACAAAAATTAATCAATGGCTGACAATTAATTTTAAATTAATATCACTCGCGAGTTTCAATCGTGCCTGATCAGATTCACTCTGAAACAGAGTGATGTTATTTATATATCATTAGTTTAAATAATTTTAAGGAATAAAAACAGCTATTTGAACTGAGGGACCAATTATGTACAGTAGTTCAACAACCAGACACGGAGATCTTGAGTAGAGACGTTTGCATTTTGCATCCATCAAGCACTTTTAGTGTCGTTGTTGCATTTTAGCGTAATTTTTCCACAAGCGCTTCAATAGATTTCCTTAAAAAAGCACAAATTTGTATAAAAGGTATAAAAAAAAGTTAGAACGCCATAAATAATGAGAAAGACTTAGCGTCTTTTTATGCTATTGATTCATGTCGTTGTTGCTCACTATTTGTTAGCACGAAGCAATTTGGTAGCCATGTTTCTGTGATCATTGAAGATTTTTAAGTAGGAATTTTTGACTGTGAGCGCTCTCTCTTTGTTCCATTTATATTTTGTTCCTTGTCCTTTGGCGGCTACATAAAAGATAGTATATAAAATATTGGACTATTTGTTTTGCCACGCACTTTTGTAATTAAAATGTTCGATAAAACATGACAATGAGAAAGTGCGAGCACCGCCAAAGTTTGGATGTGGCCTGAAGCAGCAGCACAGAGAATGTATCAAGCAGTGCATATCAATTAATCAGTTTGAGTGGCAAGGAAGGGTAGATCTCACTCCATTTGTGAAAAGTGAAAAGTATATGTATGTTTGAATGCGACCTTGTATAAACATTTTGAATCAACGGGGAACTATTTTATCATTGATAATTAATTAATAAAGTGTTGTAAAACTATTTAGCTGAAATTGAAACTGCTTTGTTAATTTTTAAGAAATCCCAACCTTTTTTAATAATTTTTTGTCTCAAGCCCATTAAACACATACTGAAACTTATATAAGTATCATTGGAGGTAAACTCTTCAGTATTCATCCTATTGACGATATTTAAATATTTTCAGAACGCAACTAGACAATATTACATAATTGTTTTCATTTTGCCTATAAAATACAGAGTAAACTTCAAGTTCTTATTAAATAATACTCTCTTTTCCAAGATTTCCATAAATATTAATGTTAATATTTATTTTTTAAGATTTTTTATTTTCACAAACTTCAGCAGGCAAAAGGATTATTTTTCAAAAGATATCTCATCAGGTCAACATTCACAACCGTTGATATAGGGCTTTTATTTACTATTATTTTTTCGTCACATTTTTTCTTTTGATATGGCCCTTTTTGTCAGCCTTTTAAGTAAAGAATGTTCCAGAAAAAAAGATTCAACATAAAGTAAATATTTAAAATTAAATAGCGATTATTGAGTATGTTTCAACAGTTTCAACTAAAAAAAAACAGTGTAATTTTCAAAACCTTACCTATTGTCTTTTGACGAGATGCTGGAAAATAGGAAGCAAGAAAACATACTTGTCTTCAGTTAATTGTTTCTCTTTCCAGTAAGCACTCGAGGAACATTTTTGTTTTTTAATAAATTTCCCAGACAGAAGCTGAAGGTTGAAGAGGGGTGCGTTTCTGTTAACTACCACTTATTAAAAGCAAAACTTTTTAGACTTTGGATCTGAAGGCCAATTTTTTTTACATATTATGTAAAATAAAAATATTAAAGCATGAAAAAGAAATTACAATTAATTTATTTTATTTTGGGTTTTGAAAGAAGTACAAACTTATTTTGTTAATACTTTTCTTTTTAATTTTCATATCCTCATAAATTTTTTTGTTGGAAAAAATTGGGCTTCAAAAATTATTTAAACATCTTTACTCAAAAGCTTTCGAAGTCCACTTTTCAGTTTAAATTTCCTAATCTGCCTTTCGCGTAGCATTTGCGTGAAATCTAATTCTTCAGCAACATACATCGCGCATTCATGTGGTGCATTTGGAACCAGTTTTAACGCTGACAGTTTGTATAGCGGTGAAGTGACGTTAATTTTCTTTTTGGGCGGCACACCAAAAACCAAGCATTTTTCAGCCAGCCGATTGTTGATTTCGGCCAACTTCAAGACGTCTTTTTCCATCCGATCGGCGCCGTACCGTATCACTCTTTCCTTAAACTTCTCCCTATTTTTAATAATAATTAAACCATAATTTAAAATCTAGCAAATTTTTCACCTGAAGAAACTGTAAAGTTGAACGTCAACGTTGTTTAGCTTCAAAATTTTCTCTTTATCTTCATTTGTTAGAACGTGCCTTCCGGTGTACTCTCGTTTATAGAGAGATATAAATGACACGTCTTCCAACGGCCAGCACATAAAGTCGGCCAATAACACCATGGAAATCTCCATGTGATCCGCCAGAAGCACCAAATCGAATTCTTGATCTATGGTGCTTATAAATTTGTTAATTTCCTTCTCGTCTCTGAATAAACTTTCGTTCATTCCCAGATCAAAAGCCATCTAAATATCTCATTAAATAATTTTTTTTTATCTAGCAATAAACAAGATTTAAATTACCATATTGTGAGCAAAAGCATAGCCGTATCTCATGCGAGATTCAAATATTTTTTGAAGCTCAGTAATATTAAATTTTAGCAGATTTTTCATCGTCATGGATTTGTTATGCAGAAATCTGTCAGCTAAGTCGAAATAATTGTATGCTGAATCGAAAACGGCAACTGGTTCCCTAAGAATTGTGAACCTTCTGGTGTCATTTGGCATTACCTCCCTTACAGCCTCCGGACGGAATCGGCAGTGGTGCACAAACATGTCAAACTCTTCTTTCTCCGGCAACAACTCGCTGCCAATGAACCCCTTCTTGAAAGGGTAAGGATATCCAAGAAGGTTAGCTTTGAAAAAATTCTTGCTTCAGTACATTTTTTTGCTATTGAAATAAGTTGAATTTAACACTTTTATTTGGCAAGACGAAATTTAACCCTTCCCGCCACCCTCGTCTCATTAAAGCGTTTTGAACTGTCGAGCTGCCGCACTTGTGTGTTTTTAAGAAGAAAACGTGGTTGTGCGGTGAACACTGGTTCCGATAATTTTTTATCACCATTTCCTGTGACTTAATACTCGAAAAGGCATCATCACTGCAAAGAAGAGTGACATTTTGACAATAATTAGTTGTCTATAAGCAGCATATATCCATTTTATCAAATTGAGGTGTCAACACACGAATTAAAAAAAAATCAACAATAAAGCTTTTAACACCGACGAAGATAATTGTGTATTACAATTGCATTAAAATGTAGAAAATAAGAAAATTCTTACAAGTATCGAATATTGAAGAACGACGAGACGCAAAAAACAGCGTAACACGCCAGAAAAATTGCTGCTCCTTTTTTTTGGTGGATGTGCATTTGAACTGGCAAGCAGGCAATAAAAAATAAATGACCAGCACGGACCAGCAGTTTGGAAACTTAACATTCGTGAGGAAAGGAGTGCTATCGCATTAATTATTGTCACTGCTATCTAAGGGACAATGTGGGGGGGGGGGGCAATATAAAACAATTTTGACAAGAGGGGTAAAAACGAAATAGAAGAAAGAATAAATTATTCGATCAAAATAACTTTTATATAGGCCAAATAAAGAGTATCAAATAAGGGCGCAGACTGTAACCAAAACTAGTATGGATTTTTTCTTAACAAGAACAAAGTTTTTTATTGCAGTGGACCTCTATGTTGTTTTTTTAATTTTAATTCATGCCAATTTTCTCCACAAAAAATGTTACTGTTGGTATATTTCTGTTTATTCTCTACTCAAAAAGTAAGTTAAAAATATATTAAAATTGGGCCAATGTTGTGTATAGCAGAGACAGCTAAAACGCCCAACATATTATATTATAATATAAAGCACCGTCATTATTTACAAGTATTAAAAAAGGATAAATATTGTTTTTTGAGAAAGCAATTTCATATTGTTCATCTCTTGCAACGAATATTGAAAAATAGAGGAAGGAGAGAGAAAAAAAATGACATGCAGTAAACAAAAAATGGAAAAATACAAAAATATTCCCTTTCGAATGATTCTTTAATTAATTACGCCTGTCACCCTATGATATACAGCAAGGCATTCACCTTGTCACGTGAAGCACTTGCGAGTTCCCAGGCTATACAAATTTTACCTTAATCTGAAGTTCAGCTTCTGAACACTACACTACTTAGAGTACAGGTAAAATATATGATTTTTTTAAAGTAATTAATAATCAGAAATATGTGGCGCAAATGTATTAATTCTTAATTTAAATATTTTTTGGAACACCGTTTCAAGATGCAAAAAATAACAATTGGTTTTCCCCGATGTGGCGATCATGTGCTAATTTTCTCTTATTTTAAGTAATATATTGCTGAAAATCTAATTAAATTGTTATTTTTTAATTCTATCTAATATCATCAAACTTCCGCGACTTCCAATCAAATTACTGAAATTCCACTTCCCCTTTCTTCTTGTGAGTGAACGTCGCATAAATTAATTTACGCTTGCTCGCTCTCTTAAGTCAAAGACTTTAAATTAGATCGTGAAAATTGAATTATTTTGCCTCGTTAGACAAATGGCACTTCTTATACTCTGATCGTTCTTGCATAACATAATGACGAAAAAAGTCTTTTTTATAAGGCTGGTGATTGCAAACCTTTTATTTTTACTATAATTAATTTTAATCAAAATAAAATCTCATTGAATATCAAAAAGCAAGTGACGCCAATTTACAACACTTATGATCTGAAAAAAGGGATTTAATATGAATTTAAAATTTAAAAAAGCTATATTAAATGAAAATTAATTTATATCCTATAGTTAAGTTTTCATGTATATATTATTTATAATTATTTTTTTTCGTTTTAATAATTTTATTTGAGTACTGACAATGAGACTAGATCTCATATAATATTTTCGTCTTTTTATAAGTGCACTGGTTTTCACCTCATCAAAAAATATAAACTACATTTTTCAGTGATATTTCCATTTCCCATACATGATACATCAAATGTTGAATTCAGTAGGCAAATTGTTTGGAGATAAAATTTGGTTAAAATTTAAACATTACAAAAAAAATTACTGGGCTTCGATTGCAAAGGAGAGATTTTTCAGAGATATCAAAACAAGCAAGAATGCTTTTTGGAAACAGAAATTTCCCCCAAAATTTTGCAGCCCCTGCTTTTTAACAAACATTTCCTGATTATGTGTGTATGCGTTGCTGAAAGGGCATCTCATTACTTTTAATTTTTTCCCTGTATTCGAAGCACTAACTGAGTGCGAACAAGAAAAAAGAGCCAAAAATTCGGTGGCGTGGCGCATTTTGCGCAAAAGTAAATGCGTTTTTCGTTTTTACCATTAGCAGTTCGTTTCACGGTTCTTTCCCCAGTACATGTGTCGGCAACAGTGGTGCGCACCATATCGTCGGCAAACGAATTACGTTCTACGTTATGTAAGTTACATTTTTCATATAGCCGGCAGCTGCATGATGAATGCGCGTTTTCTGGGCTGAGGCCATTCATCAGAGGAACGCTCTCCCTCCCCATAATTTTTTTATCCATATCACTGCGTCGGGTCTGGGTCTGGAATAATTGGCAAAGGCTTTACTGGAAGCTGCTCGCCAGAGTGCCAATTCGTTCAAAAAATGCTGAACAAAAAAGCAGGCCCGAGTCAATTTTCCTGCATGCAAGCCGGACCTAATTTTAATCCTTTTTAATTGGCAATTAAAAAAAACGGCAATTCTTAATAAGTGACCAGCTTCAATAAACTATATACTATATTTTTGAAAATTCCTTGCAACGCTGTTAATAAATAATATATTATTTCAATTTACAATTCCCCGTCCCCCCTTAAAGGCTACATAAAGGTTCACGTTTTTGTTGGAA